GTTAAACAATGTACTCTACCCAGAGTTTTGGGCGAACAATAAAGTCGTACTATTGTTACGCAGACCAGTATCGCCCTATTTTTTTTTTTTTCGGGGGAAGTTAGTAGAATTTCTACTAACTTCTCTCTTTTTTTTGTTTTGTCAATATAGCGGGTGTGGTGTTAACTTTTTTTCGGGGGAAGTTAGTAGAATTTCTACTAACTTCCCCTTTTTTTTGTTTTGTCAATATAGCGGGTATTTATGTTCGTGGTATTAACATTGGCCTTATTCTAAATGTGATTCGCCTTTTATCACATCATCACATGTGGAGTAACTTTATTTCACTTAGACTGTTAAGTCGTTAAGAGGAAATTTTCATAATAATCGTAAATTTAGAGCTAATGAATCTCGTTAGGTCAGTAATAATAATTTGTATTGCATCAACAAACCTTGCTGAATTGTTAGTTTAACAATTTCAAATGAGATAAGTACTTTTATATCCTGATTGAGAAAAAAACTTATTTTTAATTAAAGAGTTGTTGGCATAAATTGATTTAAAAACCGTTAGCAGAGTTTCAAGAACTGATCTAGTTTCTGTACGATTAGTAGGTTTATTGTAGTATGCCTTATATGGAGTATTCTTTATTTCCTTGAAATATATAAGCGACAAGCAAATCTCTGTGTTTGAAGGCTTGAAATAATAGTTTTTTTTACTTGAAATTTTCAAAGGATTATCCAAATATTTTATCTACAGTTGTTAGACGAAATCTAGAGGTTTAACCATTGGTGAAAGGCGAAACCTAGTTTCAGCTTTTCAACAAAAAAAAATTAAAAAGGCGAAATGGCGAAGCTTGCAAAAGGGACAAAACTTGCGAAACTATCAAAAGGTGGTGAAACTAGCTAAAGTGGCAAGACAGGTAAATGTAATATAACTCTTTCGTGTAATTCTTAATCTCTTTGTTTCTACTCATCCATCTTTAAATTGTTATCTTAAGATCACATATATATGTATGTATCTGATATCACATATCACTCGTGTTATATTTGCCGCAATATGCACATTTTCACTATCAAAGTGTTTTATAATCGTTAATTGTATTATCGTTATTAGTTATTAACGTAATGAGCTAAATACAACGCAAAGAATCAAACAGGATTCTCCAATGGATATCTGACTATTTTATCTGATGGACATTTCTTTGATATATTCATTAGATCATTCAAGATTGATTAAAACGTGTGCCATCTTTTAAATTTATAACTTATCAGACTCAATTCTTCAGCTTTTTTAGGGATTGAGTTCAGTAAGCTGTAAGTTTAAAAGTTGGTACCTGGTTTTTCTTCGGCATCAAATATACATGGTTTAATCAGCTACTTGTTTAATAATATTTGATCTATAAAATATTAATTAAAAGACTATACCTAAAACTGTATTTGACAGTGACAGAATTTATATACAATTTTTAAAGTCAAAGCTGTACATGTTTAAACGAAAGAAATCCTACTTGCATATAAATATGATTAATAAAGAATATAGCAGATAAATAATGCTACGAAACTGTACGTACATAAGTGATTAGAAAAAAAAATACAAAATGATACGTATAATAATTATGAATTAAAATTATTAATTAAAAATTAATTGACTTAAGTAATTGCAAATTATTATTATACTGCAAAATGCATGCAAAAGAAAATTTGTAGAGCAACGCCAGTTTTCTCAACATTATTCTCGTTATAAATCATTAATTCCATTAGGTAAGTTATTTTTTGAAATTGAATTACGGGGTGATGACGGAGTAACGACCACATGTGGAGAGTGTATTATGTCATATTGGATGATTTGAGAATCGGTTATTGTCGAAGAATTTGAAATTGTAATGAGTGTTGGAGAATTTCCTTCCAAAGTTTCATAACCAACTTTTGTATGCGTATTGGATTGATAAATAGAATTATGCTTTTTTGAACTATAAGAATTATGCTT